ACACTCGGCAAAGCCGCCGTCACGGTGGCGCTCGCCGTCACGGCGACTTTTCTTTGCCGAGTGTCAGATTAGCACTCGGCAAAGGCTTTACCGAGTGCCTGATAAAGTGCACTCGGCAAAGAGGTCTTTGCCGATCAACTGTTTACCGAGCGCCCTTTGCCAAGTGTAACACTCGCAAAAGCTTTGCCAAGTGTATATCGGTCTTTGCCGAGTGCCTGAGACACTCGACAAAGAAGCCGCCTCCGGTAGTGTAAGATGTCACATCAAATATTACATAGAGTGTCGTATGGGTTGTTCGGATACTAATAAAAAAATAAATTACAGAATCCGTCGGTAAACCACGAGACGAATTTATTAAGCCTAATTAATCCGTCAGTAGCACATGTGTGTACTGTAGCACTTCATTGTCAAAATATGGATTAATTAGGTTTAAAAGATTCGTCTTATAAATTAGTCGTAAACTATATGTTTAATTATTTTTTAAGTCTATATTTAATATTCTACGTACGTGTTCAACATTCAATGTGAAAGTACGTAAAGTCTAAACAAGCCTAAAGCGAAAGCGATTCCCCAACCCCCTTTTCCGCCTGACGTGTGCAAAGTCTACGGCAGGGAGACATGCACGCATTGCCATTGCTTAACAAAAGTCGTAGCAGCGGTAACATAAGAACAATCCCCGGCATCACGGCATGTGCACGGATGGGGACAGCAGCAATAACAGCAGCCAGACCAACAGCTAGCCGCGCCCCTCTCGGACGGGGCTGCTTGTAGTAAAATTGTGGGGAGGTGGAGGCACAGTCACACACGTAACGCCCAAGGAGCGGGTCGCCTGCGCCGCTGCCCGCTGGTAAATGATGCCTGGCTCCATCACCATGCGGTGCATGCCTCGTGGCCGGCTGGCCGGTCGGCGCCGGCCCCACCCATCATACGGCCACATCCGGCCGGGAACCCCACCGTCCGTGTCCCGGTCCAGCTACCGACAGTCAAAACCGCACCCTTGCCCACAATTTGACCGTCACTCATGGGGTAGGGGCGGGATTACTGAATTCGTCTACCATTCAGCCCTCCCTTCCTAATATATACTCTGCTGGTGCTGCTGCAGGTACAGTGCACGTGCCGTGGCAGTTCTGTTTTTTTTAAAAAAAAAACCATCGTGCTGACAGTAGCTAACACTCATACTTAGGGCATCCAAGCAAGTATTGCGTGGATTAGAGAAATCAGGATACCAGATTCCATGCACAGACAAGATGAATAACATAATCCGTGACGTTGACATGGAGAAATGACTAATAATCAGTCAAAGGGCGACACAATATGCCGCGAGGGTATATTACTACTTGTACTGCATTAAGCAATTCATGAACTGACAATATATAGAAGGCACTACGGAACAAATCTGATTTGATCTAGTAAGTAGGAATAAGATAAGGCGATGCCTACAATGCAAGGGGCATGATTGTATAATCATTACTATATTAGAAAGCCTGATCTGCTTGCTTAGACCAATAGCTATTTTGTTTAAGCAGGATTTTGGGTGACTAACCACTGGACTTGTATTTAGACACTTAGACCTAGCATGAGATGACAAGAAGCATCTGTTTTCTTTTTCAAAACTTATATAGGCGAGCTAGTAGGGGTGGTACGGCAAGGCTGCATACTCTATATTGGATCGGCTCAGTCGCTCAGCCACATGATGCTTTGGGTAATGAATTTATACTCACTTCAATTTGCAAGGTCCAGACTGAGTCATGCACGTGAATTGCAGTCTATCTCCTAGTTCCTCAGTTTCTGCAGCGTTTCTGCATAAGCTGACTACGGAGTTTAATTCTTTGGTCGTGCAGAACTTCAGACCTAAACCAGCCTGCAGAACTCTGTGCTGTTTGATTGTAGGATCAGTAACGCAGACGTATAGGAATCAAGAGTTTGCAAACCTTCACCCAAGTTACAGTCCTTACGCCTCGCCCATCGCATTATTGCAATTTCCAAAAATGCAATTTTCCATATTTCTAGTTACGTATTTACTTACGGCAACGAAGAATAAAACTATCACTATATTTTTTCCTTTTCCTAGTTCTTCTTCCAAGCGCAGAATAACCCCAAGGGGTTGTGGGCTTTTTTCTACCAATGGGGGCTTTCCCTTCACCACCCCCATGGGGATGGTCCACAGGGTTCATAACTACCCCTCTTACTACGGGGCGTTTACCTAGCCAACACTTAGATCCGGCTCTACCTAAACTTTTTTGGTTCACCCCAGTATTACCCACTTGTCCGACTGTTGTGAGAATCGGATACTATACCAGTACCGTGCATGAACTTCCAAGGTGTATGTATATACCAGGATTTGGTCCATGGTACTGATGCAGTGAGCAGGTAGGTCAAGATATGGAGTCCTTGAACTCTGTGGCCTTTAATGGTTTGTCTCCTTCCAGAGTGTGGTCACATCTGGTTGAGGATTTTGATATCCATTCAAGGCCAGGCAGAGGCAGAGGCCATGCAACAAACTCAACAAGGTACACGCATCAGTGTACACTGCTGTGCTTGCGTGCATAGCATGGTCATGGACCTATGCTGAAGCCAGGCCACGAGCCCACAGGCCACCGCGGCGCAGAAAATATTGGAATGAAGCGTCATCTGGCTAACAACTCTGCCACCACCTTAAATCCAGCAGAGGTGCGTGCAAAGGGAAACTGGGAGGCCAAGGCATGACTCGACAGGCCCACTCCATTAGACCATACTGTACTACCAGTATCAGTATGTGAGCCAGTTGCAGCTTTCGGATACCACATGTAACCTAGCAGTAGGCAGAAACCTATAAGAGCAATGCCTAGCTTGAGTTATTAGCATGTTGGACAATAAGCACATGGCAAAAGTGGCGGATAGTACTTCATCCTAAAAGTCTCGGGACATTTAAGAGTTTTAGACTATGACCAGACCATGGTGGCAACTGTGTGGGAAAGATCCAAATAGGATCGTTTTTTGCCCTTTTATATTAGTTGGACACAGCAGTGTATTCGGAAGTGCCTAATGTGCGGACAATAATGCAATTTCTAGATTCCATCAGAAGATTGTTTTCTGCAATTAGCCTAGACACTGAAACCACGGTCGTTTCCTAATTAGGATATGGAACATTTGTCTTTGAACAAGGTTCATAAATAAGAGATGACATGAAAGCAAAGGCATCTCAGGCGCACTTACAGTTGTGAAGCGTATCTTCGCCTTAATGCTGCACCTATCATCAGATGAGGCTGACATGATAGCCGAATAGAAAACAGGACAAGCACAAACGCCTCGCTTGGCTTATTAGCCGTACTTTTTCAGTCAACGAACAATATTTTTCTCTCACAACAAATCAACCAACAAGATTTTTCAATATGCTTATCAGCCAAACGAACAGGACAAAAGTGCATTCTTCTTGGGGTCATGGCAAAGCTTCAGTCAGCAGTTCAGCACTCAGCGTTTAATCATCATCGACATGTGAGAGTGGCAGCAAAGAGAATCCCTCTTTCTTTTTTACTTGTCTTTAAAGACATGCGATGATTTGATAACATGTATTTTTTGAGAACATGCACAAAAGAATGAAAAGTGAATACGCAAAGTGAGAAAGATATCAAATCTTTCCATATGAACCCCATCATGAGTTTTTAGTGAAGGGCTAGCCTCTTTACCGAGGTAAAGTGCGATAGTCGCAAAAAATCACACCAAACTGTAGAGTAATCAGTAATGGCTCTTTTATGCCCTCGTCAAGAAGTTCAGTTTGTCAACAGGTGGGGCAGAATGATGGTCCGTGGGTAAGTGGAAGTAAGAAACCCAGCACTGGCTATTGTCCTTGTCCCACCAGGACTCAGTAATTTAATACGTTATGCAAAACCAATGATATGAGGTATATAATGCCTAATTTGCAGAATTTTGTAAAAGCATTGAGACAAGAAACAGCAAGTAATTTCTACCTAGACTACCTAAAGTATTATCGAGAATTGGAATGGACGAATTCATTCTACAAATAGAAGCTACTTAGGGTGAGTCAAAATTACCTACTCAACTAACCAACCAGATACATAATGAAATTAAAATAATTGTCTAACCAAATATTATATCCTGAACGTACAAGAGAGAGTAAATCTTATATGACAGATTTCAGTAGATCAGGATCTAACAGCAAGGAGTTGAGACTGAGTTGCTCCTTTATTCCTTCTGTTATATCCACTTTCTATAGGACATGATTGATTCGAGCATTTGCATGCGCTTCAACATTATCACAAAGCATCTACTTTGTTGCATATGCAACATGACAGTCAGTGGTAGTGAATTCCTGTCAGCATCAATCGTTTTATTAACATATCAAAGTTATCAACACATCTGGGGACAAATGTACCAGTACCAACAATGGCACAAGAATAAGAAAATGCAAATGATTCCAGATTATAAAAAAAGAGCAAAGACTAAAAAGGGCGTACCCAGTGCAGAGAGCTCCCGCTCTGTGCGGGATCTGGGAAAGGGTGTTAGTGGCAAGCCTTACCTTCGCCTGTGCAATGCGAGGAGACCGCGACTCGAACCGGGACCTTCCGGTCACAGGCGGTAAGACTAAAAAAAGAGCAAAGACTAAAAAAGAGCAAAGACTGACTCGTTAATAGAAATGTACAATGTCCATTTCGTATGAGGATCTATTAAAGCATTCTAGGTACAGGTGTATCTGTGGTGGAAAAAGAATGAAAGAAATTGTTAAAAGTAGTAGACTAACCTCTTCACAGTGGAAAACCGACAAAGAAAGGAAATAAGTGAAGATATACAGCTACGGATCATCAGAAAAATTGCCTGCCTACAGCTTTCAGGCCCCATGCCACATAGGTGACCTGGCAATAGAATCATAAAATCTAGCCATAACAGTACCTCCATTGGAGACCTGTAGAAAAAAATCAGTACCGAACCATCCAATGAAAATGAGCTTTCATATTCCAGAAGTTACGATTGATGTTAGCAGTTAGCACCAATAGCAGCATAATTCATTGAGTGTGCTGACTAGCCAAGTCACTGTCCTCCTGGAACCTATAAGATATTTCCACTTCAGAAACAGTGCTTGGGAAGGATGGGCCACGAATTTTCAAGCGTTTTGGCCCAAGATCTACAGATGGAGATAGGTAACTGCAACCGATAGATTTCTGGCTGAAAGCAACTTCGTCTTGCACAATTTTTGCATCTAGCTGATCTATCCTCATTTTTAGTTTGCTTCGATTGATGAAGTTATCTGTATTTCCAGAAATGGAGTCAAGACAATGCGATTCAGCACCCAGATTGCCACTTCTTGTACCACAGGATACTTCTGTTGTGTTCTTCTCTTGTCTGTCATCTGAGCTGGCTTTCTTTAACCGTCTTAAAGCCTAGCAAAACAAACAATGAGTAAGCCATTAGTAAAGGAGTAGGCGGCATGAGTTAAGGTAAATACTGAAAGTTCTGAAAAAAGGTTGTGCATTTATCTAACCATTCATTAAAAAAGTCCTGTTAAGTAAATTGGTTTAATTGCTATTTCTGAGCAGTTATTGTTGTGTAAAGTCTCTCCATGTTTGATTGTTTATTATGTCTTTTATTAGGGAATTAAGCTCCTTAATCCATCGTTTAGGTTTAGTGATCATTTTGCTAATAGTTTTTAAATGAAGCTTAGAAACTAGGAGAGTCATGACGTGCAGTAGCATAGATTTTGATTAGCCAATCTCCATAGCAGGTTAGAGTCAAACCTGTTTAAGCCTGTCCACAACTTTTATCGTGCATAAAAAAAAACTTTGGGTACATCAAATAGGTTAAAGGATTGGTATAAAATGATGATTCTTTTATGTTAAAGATAATTATATACAACTCAGGAAATAAGGTTCCAAAAATACTAGCACAACTAAGGGCCTATTTGATTTAGCTTTGAATTTTAGATTCTAGTTCTAAAAGCTGAAGCTAAAATAATCAGGGTGTATTTTAAAAGTAGATTGTTAGAACCCAACCTTTTTACACCACGATCCACAAGATGCATCCCACCAGCTTACAGATTTAAAGAATAAAGCTTTTAACAACCTGCAATATGCAGCTAGCTTTTAAGAATCCAAAGCTAAAACAAACAGGCCCAGAAACTGTTCCAGGTCGATTGTTTAAGTTCAATACAACATCCTGTCTCAACAACTTAATTAATTAAAATAATAATAACCCTTCATTCAAATATAGGTAACTTATGTGTTAAGGTATGCCCTACTCATGATTAGTACTATTGTGGTCGTGTGGACGAGGACCCTTCACAGCAGGTTTAGCAGCAACGTATTTGCGTTCTGCAGCACAATCATAGATTCATAGAGGTGCAGGAATTCAATACTAGCAGGTAGCAAAGTGTCCAAGAAGAATAAAAAGTTGAAATAAAAAAAAGGATGTTGAAGAACAAGAAGTTGAGTTAGATAGGTCCTGCAGCTCAGAGGTGAGCTGCTTGTCAGGAAGGGCTGTAAAGTTATGGACTTGGGTTCACAAAGGAGCTGCAGCAATGACGCAACAGTGTGAAATAGCATGGCAAGGGCGGCACAGATGTGCAGGCACCAGAGTCCAATGCTAGCGGATAGCAAGATGTCCAGGAGGAACAAGAAGTCGAAATCCAACACGAACAAGAATTCTAGTTGTAGTCAGTTCACTTACAACAAACCCAGTTCTTGGATATGTTAGATTAGATTTGAGTTATATTAGTTGAGTGAGTCCATCATCATAGAAAGGGACATGTTTTTTTTTGGACAGAAATAGGAAGGGACACTTGATCCTGGAAATCAAGCAAACATCTTATATATTGTACCCCTAATATTCTTATAGCCGTACTTTTGTTGTGACCTCCTATTCTAATTTCAAACCATTGTTGTTGTTGTTGTTGTTGTCTGACCTCCCTTAGTACGACCGTTAACATCACATGACCAATCTAATCATTATTTGTCAAAGTTTAACAAACATACTGCAGAGCCATCCACTCTTAAATGGAGGAGGAGCAGTTAAACTAAGCAAAATCACAAAAGTAAAAGTACCTGATTCTCAGTTAAATTTACTGTTACATCTTCTGAACATCTTTTCTCTGGAATTATGCCAGTTCGTCTCTTAACTCTAAATACCTCACAGTCAGAATCATCAGTATCCTGAGCAGCCAATGCTTGATCAGTGCATAAAGGATAAACATTAATCATTCCATTCTCTGGACATAAGCTAGAGAATGTTCTTCGGTTAGAACTAGTACACTCCTGCAAAAATAAAGTTACATAAAAGTTTTAAGTTACCCAAATAATACACAGAAAAGCAGAAGTAGAGAAGGTAGGCATCATACATCACTTTGTGTAGAATACTCCTGAGGTCCATGTGCAGAAGTTATTGTTGATAATGTAGGATATGGCTTATTCAGATCATATCCAAGAACATCTACCTCTGACAAGGTATGAAGTTCAGGGGATGTATCAATTAGGATCTTGCAATATGGGAAGTATTTAGCATTGTGGTCAATGCCATTGGACAAATAAGGATGCGTGCTAGAGCCATCACTTTGAGACATTTGTTTTCCTACTTCATCCAATACCCCAATTTTCTCAAACTTCTTTGATAGTTCCTCCAGTTCAAAGATGTCTTTCCTCACAAAAATAACACGATCACAGTTGCAAGAGCACTTCCTAATTTCTTCCTCTTCAAAACAAGGTAAATAAGTAAATAAGATAATCACAAATGAAGCAAATATCTGTAATCTGTAATAAGTGCAAAACGACCTTACCATGACAAAGGCAAATTGCATCGGCTCTGCAGTTACACATAATGTGAGCTATATAGCAGTCACGTTTGCATATTCCACAGAGAACTGTGGCGTCAATGTCTGCTTTATAGCGTGTACGAGCACCCATTTTCGCAAGTGACCAACGAACACGGTGTTGGAACCGCATCAACTGCACAAAGGGGGCCTTCATAGAGCTCTGTATATGTGTGTCTCCAGTTAATGCTACATCTCCGTGATCAGACATGGAAAACTCATTAGTAAAAAATGTTGTTTCTTTACAAAGAAGCTCCTCATAAGGTAATACTGGTATCCTCTTCAGAAGTGCATAACGTTGACTAGCAACTGCTCCTAGAGGAAACCATTCGCTTGTAGCAAAATTTACTGCCTCGCCACAATTGAAACCTGACATTTGTTCAATGGTTTTCAATAAATCATAAAATAAAATAGAAGATTCAAGATGTTGAATAGTTACAGAAAGTAGATGACTGCAGGTAATTACATAAGAGATCTTACCATGGCTGAAACCAGAATGATAAGCTCGGGGAAATGTTACAACAAACTCTCCAGGTTTCTGTACGGCTCTATAGACTGGAACATGATGATCCAGCAAAATATTAGGTGGGAAGATTGTAGTCTTCCCCAAAAGAACATCAAATGCTGCACTTTCCCCTTCACCTGATAAAATTTCGTGATCATATACATGCTCACGTACCACTTTCTCAAAATCAGAAGCAGCACTTCCTGGAATACCGTACCATGTTTTTGAGGCTCCACAGTGGTGATAGTTAATACTGGCAAAATGATAATTCACATGAGAATGACAGAAGTGTCAACGAGCAGTATCATGCAAAGAATAATGACAAAAAAAATATAGATAGTGGGAGTATTTTCATTTATGCCGCCACTTGAGATGTGCATTTTATCTATACCATCAGTCTGTGTCAATGACATGTAGGATCGTTCCCTCAAAAAAAATGACATGTAGGATCAGACTCCACATGTCATTGACTAGCTTGGTGGTATAGATAAACAGTTCCCCTCAAGTGGCTGTATGGATAAAAATTCCCATAGATCATTCACCTGTACAGGTAATGATCTTCCACATGCCAGGCAAACATACTAAAGAGCATCCCAATATACAGCATTGGATCTGTTATTCCCTGAAAATATATGAAATGTAAGTAACTGAAAAAGGCAGGATGGAAATTCATCAGTGCGATCTACTCACTGGAACTGCAGCTCTGAGAAGACGTAGTGTAGAGTTCGGCAACCGTGAGAATCTCTGGATCAAAGCACGGACAAAAATACTTTATGATACCATCATCATTGCCAGAAATGATCATAAGATCACCAGATGATCATAAAAACATCAGGGTTAGAAACCTTGACGAAGAAACAATAGAAGGAATGTGGATTTCTTGAGTAGAAGAATGTGCCCATTGTTTACCAAATACTCATACAAATTAGACAGACTACATTTACTATTTTAGACGGGTCCCTACTATGGAATGATTAAAGATAAATTCATCACGTATATCACTTGAAGACAAGTTTTGAGCTGAGTCATAACACAGAATATCAGCAGATTATATGCAACCAATACGGCAAAATAGGTAAAGCAGTGCAAGATAAGTTTTAGGCGTTGCGTGAAATTAAGCACATAAATGCCTGTAGAAACTGGGACACAAAATAAGTACCTTCAAGTTCCATTTGCTTCTCCCAAGCTGGTCATTAGAAGAAGAAGAAAATGCACTACCATCGATATCACATGCATACTCGACAGACTCCATCTTGCCAAAAGCTATTTCATGCCAAAACTCCTCTTCCATATACCTTGATGGAAGACAAGCAGCACTGGAGTATCTTCGTACAAATTCTTTATTTGCCATCTTCTCGAACTCCCGAAATGTGTACTTTCTGATAATTTGTACTACCATGTTATGCACCGCAAACAATTAAAATCGCATATCATGCACTATGCAATATGAATGGCCATACAAACCTTCCACTCATGAAGAAGGCAAACTTGTCATCCTTGGACCATTCAGCAAGACGGAGAGGCTGAACTCTGGTCGTAAACTTAAGCCCACCTAATTCCTTCATTAGCACAGTGCCCGCAGGTACCGAAGCAGAGATCGGTGAAATGATCTTGCATATACCTGGGTAATTGCACATGGTCACAACAACACAATATTCACAGAAACTTACTTAAAAATCCATGCGTGAGCATTGGTTCATCTTTTTTTTCAGCAGGCACATGGAACTCGAAAAACCATTATTTATGGCGCACACTGATGAAGATTATGAATACATACTACCGTAAACAAAGGGGCTGTATGATTAAGATCTGAGTGCATTGTTTAAAGAACAAGATTTATGGGGGCACATCTCAGAAAGGTTGCTAGCAAAAATTGCTTCCGAGATGCCAAAACATGCAAGGTGGCAATACTTAGGTATCTAAACTTCACAATTATCTCGGTAGGTCCCTACACTTGAACAATTCGCCACCTGAGATAATTTAGTAGTTTAGGGACAAAAGTGTCACCAGTGTGTAAGTATAGCAACTCTCATTGCTAATTTCTTCATGTCGTTTTCATGCAACTACATCTGTCAACCATTAGTTCTCTGTCTATCATCATTATCAACACTTGACCTTGTTACCTAGCTAGAAGACTATAATCAACAAAGGAAAAGGATACAGAGAACAACTATTACCATATTTTGCAGCCACAGGGGCAATTTTGCTGAGATAAACCATAGGATCCTCAAACTCCTGGGTTGATGGAGAAAATACAGGGCAATCTGGAATCTCATCAATCCAATCTAGGCTAGATAGATCAAACTTCTTTACTCTGTGTTTCGAGAATGGATTTCTCATGGACCCTCCCTCTCTCAGTGACGCATCACAACTCCTGCGCAATCTTGCCCCGTATGACACAGATTTCAGAGTAACTCCATCCTTCCCTGCCATTATCCTGGAGGCATTGGTCCCTTGATCTAAACACCCTGAGCGCAATGACTGAAGCCACTTATACTTTGCAGTCCCCAGCTCAAGAGAACCGGTCTCCTTAATCTGAGCACACAAGAAGAAGCAATTACTCATCCTGTTAGAGCACTGTATACACATTTCATTACTAAATTATAGCTAGAAATGGCATATTGTAATGGAAGATGCCAAACTAAAGTGAAGTGGGCATAGCTTGAAAAGTTTGTCTCAGCTGATGTAAACAGAATATCACAACCCAAAAGGAAGCGTCTAATCGAACTAATGTAAATAAGTAATTATGAACATGTGTCAACTGTGCTTACTTTTCCACACCAGTCTATATGCCTAAAGGCCGGGGCTGAATTCTACAAAAGGCGAGCTCACTAAATTTGTTCCCGCAATAAAAGCCACTGTAGCCAGTAGCCACGCAGGTAATACCCAGAATACACGTGGTAGCATGCTAAAAAAAGTCAAACTCTCCTGTTGATACAGAGAATCCAACAGCTGTGCACCATCTCAATCACAAAATATAGAAATGCATCCATATCCATATAGTTCAAAATTACTTCTCAGATCACCTAAAGATCAGTTCACATAAATAAAAGAGTTCATATTAAGAAGCACTAGGGTTATAGCCCGCAAATCACATCATATCAAACCTATTGTCGTAGAATAGCAGAAACACAGGCAAAAATAGCAACTGAAGTGGTCAAATCCTTTCCAGAAATGGCCAAATCTATGGAACAGTTCGAATTAAGAAACACCTCAAAACTAACCACGAAATTAAATGTTTGCCACATTAGGCTCAGTTCTACAATAAATAAACGTTTGATTATCTGAAGCAAATTCGTCGCCCAGAAAGGAACAGGCGCGCGAATAGTAAGAGAATTACGCGACACCACGCGAAACTACGAGTTGAGCGAGCTGCTACAGAACTCATGGAGTCAGACGAGCGCGGGAACTCACCAAATTAGACCCCGCACATGCAGGCACTACAGTCCAGTTTACCAAACAGTCCGGCAAATCATAATTTGAAGGGGAAATACAAAATTAAGGAAGGATTAGAACAGATTTCGACTACAAACCGCCGGAATTGCAGGGTTAGTTTATTATAAAAAAAAACACTCCCAATTCGAGGTGAATAGAATCGTATGACTCAAAACAAGCAAAATAATACTAATAATCAGAAGAAGAAGAGAATCCTGGTAAAAACATGAGCCGAATCCACAAGGCCAAGCCAATTCTGACGAATCAAACAGTTCCCGAAATTTCACTGCGCAAATCCCATAGAAAACGACGAGACCGCGTCCTCTCAAACAAACCCAACCACCCACAGTGCGGGTGCACCCGCTCACCAATTCACGATTAGCAATCCACAGAACCTCAGATCGCTCACCGTCTCATCTCGCCGCAGCTTCCAGGCCCGAGACCTCCTCAAACGGGGACCCACATTCCCCTGCGGTGGCCGCTACCGGCGTCCCCGCGCGCTCCGATCCGCGCCCGCCCCTGCAAGCCCGATCCGCCGCGTCCCGAGCGTACGGAAGCGACTCCCGAACTCCGCCGCGGCGTAGACTGCGGAGCCTGCGTAGGCTTCGGGTCCAAGGCGAAGGAGGAAGCGCCCGCGGCGGTGCTCCGGCGAGCGGCGGAGGAGCGAAGGAGCACCGAGGAGGCAGCAGGAGGAAAGACCGAAAGAGGCGGACGGAGGGATGAAAGGAGAGGAAAGGAAAAGTGCGGGTGGTATTTAATAAGCGATAACTACCTGTACCGCCGGACGCGGATGGCGCTTGGGCCTCGCTGATCCAACCGCACCACAGCTAATATGCGGATTAGAATGTCGGATTAGCGTGGGTTTTGATTGCACTTTTTCTTCTAGTGGTGGTGGATGGGGTAGTTGTGGTGGCAGGCCGTCGTCACGGGGCCGTCTTCTTCACCAGCACCAATTACTGCTCTGCCCTCCGTCAGGTAATGTATGGTGTACAAAGTTGTTGGACTGTCCGAGTATGGCTCCAGAAGTGTCAGCGATTGTCTTCTGACATAACCATGCGGCCAGAGCAATGCGATTTTTTTACCATTATAAAATTGTTAGATATTTGCCGCTAAAGAGATGTGATTTACAGTGCACATCCTGTGTGCTAATCCGTACTTTTTAACTTGTTTTTTAGTCGAAACAGTGTTTTTCTTTCACAGTAAATCAACGGAAACAGTGTTTCGATTTGTTTTTTCAGCGAAACAAACGGGCCTATATGATTCGAGTCATTTTCTTAGCAACCGTTATTAGGTGTAGGGCTCTAACCTTCCAGCTGGAACTGCTAGATTCTAGAACATTAGGTAATTATTAGGTTGCCGGGGCAGATTAGCACGGAGAGAGCAGAGAGCCCTGTTAACGTCATTTGTTCACTAGAGTAGACGGGATTAATAATGAGACCGTGTGAAATCGCCTGTTTTAAGCACAGGCAGGCGACTTTTCAGACTGGGATAAAAGATGAAGCGAAGCATCTTGTTTTACCTCCCCCAGCACGTTGTTCTTTTTCCCCACATGCTCGTTATTTGAGTTTGAGAGAAGCTTTTGGTCGATTTCGTTCTTTTTTCTTTTTTCGTGGTGCGCGCGCCGATGATGCCTTTACACACAACTGGCGTCTGGCGAAGCACATTTCGGCGGAGCAGCATCACGGCCGCCCTGGCCGAAAACTGGCTTGTCGGCAGCGAATCCGCGCGTCCATTGCCATCACGTTTGGGAATTCGTGATACCTGCCTTTTACACAATATTCGTGATTCCTGCTCGTTTGGATGAATTACCGTGGCAGCTGCACAACGGCACAAGCGAGGCAGGCAGCAAACTGACCAAATTCACCTGCGCTGTAAAGCTTGAGGCATGAAGTATCAGACATAAAAAATTGTATTTTCTACCATTGAACTGTACCAGCAAATTCTAAAGCACGGCGGCCTTGATTAGAGGAAAGTACCGCACCACAGAGCAGTTGCTTGGAGTAGGGATTGTCCCTGTAAAATAAGGAAAGATTCCATGCTTTGAATAAGGGGAGATGACGTGGAAGCAAATGATTGAAGTGGGGGAGCAAAGTGGCATCTCTGCCCCGACCCCGCTTGATACGTTGTTTTTCCTTTCACTTTACTTTTGGCCAGCTCCTACTCTGTCAAGTTGCATTGGCCAGCCCATCCATATAGAGTAGAAAATTAATACTCCAAAAGGCAGCTTTTGATGTTAATCAGACTGTTCGGTTGACTGATTCATTTTATTGCTGATTCGTAAAAAAATACTGTTGGCTGGTTTGTGTGAGAGAAAAATACTGTTCTAGCTGGAAATTTACGATCGTTTACGACAAGCCACAGCCAAACGAACAGGCTGAATGGCGTAGTACATTCACCCTGTTCGTTTGGGCTTGTTTGATTTATAAGCCATATTTTTTTAGCCAACGAATAATATTTTTCTCTCACATCAAATCAGTCAATAGTACTTTCAATCATGGCTTATCAGTCAACCAAGCCAAAGCGTACAGGGCGACTGACTTTGAGTTCAATCTAACCTTGCCCCTATATACGCACATGTTTTAATCATCCGTGATGTTAGCTTCTAGGCTCACCTCATCCACATGTACGAAAACGCTGCAGATAGGAAGACTGTTTCAGGTAGGAGCTGCTGTCGATGCTTTGCCAAGAGACTATGCAGGAGAGCCACACGCAAGAACTTACCGGGATTCCAGGTTACATTTACAGCCCGTTCGTTTGTTGGCGTTGGTCATTGCTTATCAGTTATAATACAGTGTTTTTCTCTCACAACAAATCAGCACCAGCCGGATTTATCAGCCCAGATTGTCAAACAGTCTCTCTCTAGTCTAACAGTGCTTTGCACCTGGGGCTGGCGACCAGAACAGCTGAATACCTGAAACAACTTGGTCAGAGTAGTTGCGTCTTGATTTAACCAAAAGATAATTGTGATGGTGAGTTCATCCCACTAACGACTGTGGGGTTTGGTCGCACCTGCTAGCACTGTTCCCCGTTAGCTCCGCTCCGGGGCAAAAGCCTCCGCCGCGCAGATATCGCCTGGTGTTTACGAAGTGCCGTCGCTCTCTGCGCGCTCCGCCGGACAGCGACGTGGCGGGCCTGGCTCTAGCTCTCCGTGTTCTCGCTCTCGCGCGGGTCGCAAAACGAGCAGCGAATCGGGATGCCGGAATTAGCAAGGGAAATCAGGCGAGGCGGAGGGAGAAAGGGAACAGTGATGGGTTGCATTGGGCGCTCGCTTGCGCCGCCCAATCACCGCCGGACAGCGCGCTTGTCGCTTGCTAGCTCGTTTCGTTAGGTTCGTCGGCTTTGACTGACCGGGCGCGGCCGGCCACGGGCTCCGCTGTCACCGCACCGAACCAAACCCGTCCACGTAGTGCCCGGGTCGCTCGTCATCTCCTGGATCGGCCGATGATGGGTGAGCCCGGCTGACTCTGGCTGGGGAATAATCGCTTCGTTCCACACGCGACTGAGGTGACTCGTCGTTGCGCTGAACAGTAAAAGGCAGGGCACAGGCCACATGGGAGGACACGACACGAGAAGTTATGGCGACGAGCTAGCGCCTAGCGGCCGACGTCCGGCTGCGGCCGGTAGCCGGTCGCGTCCATGTCCGACCTGCCCGGAGTGGAGTGATGCCGCCTTTTTCAATGTTCCTGTCCATGCACACCAGCAACGAGCTAGTAGCTTCCTGTTCCTGCCGGTCATCGTCGTGCGAGAAAACACAGGTAGGAAACGAGGAATGGTCCGCACGGTGGCACTTGAGCGATCTGGTCTCGCACGCTATTTTGATGAGAAGTTTGTGGCGTGAGGATAAGGAGCTGGTTTGGACTCCCTCTCGCCTAACACTCGTCTTCTCTTCATGGACCTCAGGATGCACAAATAATCCATAAAAAATAGGATGTGCTACCACACTACCACGCCGGAAAGTGTCCAATAATTCGGCGCAATAACAGGAGAAAGAGTTCCCTCAAAAAAAAAAAACAGGAGAAAAGAACTCAATAACGCTCCCTGCTCATGTTCTCTCGACGCCCGCGAGGGATGGCTCGCCTTTTTCCACTTTGAGCTGATTGAGGTGGTTTCAAATAAGTCACCTATTTATA